ATTATGAATTACCTAGACGATTGACTGTTCTCATTCAGATCGGAACAGGAACTCATCGCTCACAGGTCGCTGCTGCTCAACCACCTGGAGCGGCTTGGGCTAAATCTCAATTTAGCCAAGAGCTCTGTCACCCTGGCTTACACTCCGGGGCTGGGCTTGCAGAGTGGCTTCAGTCTGCACTTGCTTATAGCACGGCACTATTGGATACGTTCCCTATAATCGTTTAACGCAACGGGAGAGACCGTTCGAAAGGGAACACACCGGTTACTAATGTAACCTTAGTTCCCTGAGATAAGGGAACGAGAGTTGCGTAAGCTGCTGTGCTAAAAGGTTGCAGGTGAGTCAATGACTGTCGCTTCAGTCGAAAGATTCTGACAAAATGGTGCTCAGTGCCAACTTATATAGTAGTCAGTTCCAACCCTTTTGGTGGGTTGAAGCCCCATTTATTCGTGCAGCTACAAGAATGTGAACAAATCAGGCTTTGGTATTAAGAGTAAACAGGAGTTTCCCAATAAGCGTTTAATGCCACGCTCGTTCCCTTATCTCAGTGAACCAAGGTTACGTTAGTAACCGGACTAAAACGTTTCTTGAAACCTTTTGTGAAAGCTAATAAATCGCTACATTCCCACCTAAAGATGACTGTTTATACTAACTATCTCTCTCTCTCTCTCTCTCTCTCTCTCACACACACACGTCCTCAGGCAATGTCCAAAAGAAAGTCATTCAGACTTCTTGTTACATCTTGGATTAATTTCAATAATGTTTACGCAGATGTATTTACATTACATTAGTCTACAGTGTGTAAAGATAATTTAAACATTACAGTTTCCATTAGGAAAGCTTCCACACAAGGTTTGTTAACATTGATAATAGAATACTCAATCATTATAGGTACCATTGCCATCTTGTGGTAAAAACAGACTAAAGCTGTTGTCAAGGAAATACTTTGTTTCTACATAACATGGAAACCGAAAGCCCACTACAAACAGAAAGTGATTTAATGAAAGAATAAAACCTCTAGTTTATATCCCTTCACCAATCATAGTTTCACAAAAAAGAAAAAAAACATGGTTAAAAAAAAAGGGTAAACGTGAAAATCCTTAAAAATCAATATGTGCTTTTACAGAAGAAGAGAGCAGGAGCGAGATGAAGGTGTGTAATTAAATGGTCATATAATTGGATCTGGAGAACAAGCAATGAAGCAGCTTGTTAACTTGTTACTGTTACCCCGTGAGAGCAAGCCAGCGTGCCTGAGCCTGCCATTAGCAGAATGTTGTTCTCACATTCTATAGGGACACAATCAAAAAACGGCATGAAAAGGAAACTGTGAGGAACACCTTGAGCATTTCTCTTCCCGAGAATGATAATCACTGAGAAAGGAGCACATGGGACAAATATAACATTATTTTTTCTTAGTTACGACGTTCAGATGTGATTCAAATGTCTGTATGAATCAACTATAGTCAAAACGAGTATAAATGCTCTTTAGTAGATTGGATGTCATGTCTTTCCTGTGAATGTTTTATAAATGGGGCCCTCAGAGGTATGTTTGATGTTCAGGATGAATGCTGTTCTATACCTTTGATGTTCAGTTGAATTTCAAGCCACCTTAACTTTGAAAATCCACACACTTACGCAGATGTATTTACATTACATTAGTCTACAGTGTGTAAAGATCATTTAAACAAAGTTTCCATTAGGAAAGCTTCCACACAAGGTTTGTTAACATTGATAATAGAATACTCAATCATTATAGGTACCATTGCCATCTTGTGGTAAAAACAGACTAAAGCTGTTGTCAAGGAAATACTTTGTTTCTACATAACATGGAAACCGAAAGCCCACTATAAACAGAAATCCATTTTGAGTGATTTAATGAAAGAATAAAACCTCTAGTTTATATCCCTTACAAAAAAATTCACCAATCATGGTTTCACAAAAAAGAAAAAAAACATGGTTAAAAAAAAAGGGTAAACGTGAAAATCCTTAAAAATCAATATGTGCTTTTACAGAAGAAGAGAGCAGGAGCGAGATGAAGGTGTGTAATTAAATGGTCATATAATTGGATCTGGAGAACAAGCAATGAAGCAGCTTGTTAACTTGTTACTGTTACCCCGTGAGAGCAAGCCAGCGTGCCTGAGCCTGCCATTAGCAGAATGTTGTTCTCACATTCTATAGGGACACAATCAAAAAACGGCATGAAAAGGAAACTGTGAGGAACACCTTGAGCGTTTCTCTTCCCGAGAATTATAATCACTGAGAAAGGAGCACATGGGACAAATATAACATTATTTTTTCTTAGTTACGACGTTCAGATGTGATTCAAATGTCTGTATGAATCAACTATAGTCAAAACGAGTATAAATGCTCTTTAGTAGATTGGATGTCATGTCTTTCCTGTGAATGTTTTATAAATGGGGCCCTCAGAGGTATGTTTGATGTTCAGGATGAATGCTGTTCTATACCTTTGATGTTCAGTTGAATTTCAAGCCACCTTAACTTTGAAAATCCACACACTAAGGGTCCGACCCATCAGGTGACACTGAAAAAGATAGATGGGGCTCCGAAATTCAATTAACTTTAGAGGTCTCAGTTTCTCCATCACCTTTGTCATTCTTAACCTTTAAAAATACAAGCTCTCTTAAAGCATGTTAATAACAGTGATCATAAGTGATTTGTACGCAAACAAAAAAATGTGAGAAAGAAAGGCGAGAGAATGAAAGAAAAGAATTAAGACTAAGAGAGAGAACAAATGTTACAAAGAGCAAAAAAGACAAAATAATTGCAATCTAATGGTGGCAACACTGCAAATCCGGACATTATGCACAGGTCAGTCAATTACCCAGGTGTCCTCTCTGTAATTTCTCCCTTAGATTACAGAAATCACCTGCTTTTGTGATAACAGGAAGTCAAAATATGTGAAAATTGCATAATATGTTATATAATATGTTCTGTTTGTAATGTTCTTTTTCATTATTTTAAACAAACAGAGCTACGTATAGTAAAACATTATTTTATGTAACAACTTCCCTTTTGTGGTAGAGACATAAGTACAGACAAATCACACAGTTTGATGAGAAGTGTAATATTAAGGTTGTGGTTGCATTTATTAATACTCTCTGGTGAAATTTCAAAGATGAAATATAGTCATTTAAATAAGAATCAACACAATCTGGTATTACACGTTATGGCAAAACATTTCCCCACACAGCTTCCCCCTTCAGTATTTCCATGTGAATTTGCCGCATTGACCAACATGAAGTTGTTTGTTTTGAAGACTACTGTGTGAGCGATGCTTCATGCAACATTACGCTATTGACAGTGGAAAATGGACCACATTTTGCTAACGTGACCGCAAATGTACTTTTCCAAATGTTCAGGTTTACCATTTTTGACTTTTAAAACTTACCTTAAAAATGGTGAAAAGACCCTATAGACTTGCATTAAAAGAGGGACCAGAATATCAAGCTTGGCTGGGAGCTCTTTTGATATTGTCCATCTTAGCAACTGCACAGAAACACCCCAGAACTGTTGTGGTGAGTCGTACTGGACATGGGGGAAGTCGTGGCCTAATGGTTAGAGAGTCGGACTCGTAACCCAAAGGTTGCGGGTTCGAGTCTTGTACCGGATTTGACATTTAGTACCCATATAAGTGTGACGTCTGGGACCAGGACTGTAATTTATATGCAAATGTCAAAAGCTAAAAGGGTCTTCTTAAACCATAAAACCCCAAAAATCATGCATGATCCTACGCAGACGCTACAGCAATGCAAAATATTACCATTACACATAAAGATCCGAAATTTTCTATAGCAAACCAGGAACAAGAATTTCAAAGTAAAGTAATGTTCTGGGAAATTCATCTATTCTGACTAGAAGAATGAAACTAGTTCTCTACAAGAGCGTTAAAAAAAAAACCTATCCAAGTTTAGAGTATTTATCTTCTGTTTAACCAACAGTATTCAGAGAGTGACTCAATTCAAGATGTTCCATGTCAGAATGTTTTTGTGTTTATTGGTGGTTATGAAGGACAAAACAAACTACGATGTTCAAGCACTGCCGTGTATGGACTCTGCCAAACTGTTTAAGAGATCAAATTAGACCATCCTTTGATTTGCTGCCATTTTGAAAAAAATCCAATACGAATGTTAAAGCGATTTTACAAGCACCGGTTCCCCATGTGGATGTGGACGGTTTTGAATGGAACTAAATTACCCCCAAACAGCCTTCCACTTAAATAAGGACAAAGAGAGCCCACATCTGCTAGTCATCCCTGCGGTATTTTGAACGCCGTAAGCATCTGTTCCAGTGAGTGAAGTGAACCAAGTCTATCAGTGACAAGACGACTTAAAGTACAGCACTCAAGAACACAGCCTTTGGCTCGGCACAGAGGGAGGAAATGGAATGGAAAGACAAAATCCGACAATCACAATGGGCTAGATGATTCATCCACGTTTAATGTAGATTTTGTAACATTTTTCAGGTGGAGATAAAACATGAACTTTGAATTTTACAAACAACTCTACTGTATCTCTACTGAAATCCATCAAGCAAGGTATAAAAAAGAATCTTTGTGTAGTTTCCACAAACGTAATAGTTGCTCCATTGCTAATTTTCAGTTTAAATACTAATTTTTTCCCAATAATGATTCAAGACACTGTGTTTTAAGAAGTAAGAAAATAAATGAATGTGGTCAACTACTAACTGAGCCAAATTTGTGTGACAACAGCATGCGAGTAAAAATATTTTCAGTTGATGCAGACACACTATGCAAGTGTGGACAGCTATAAAAACATTAGCACAGAAATCAGGAATAAGCCTTGACAAATTAAGATACGCAGTGAAATAGCAACTCATTACAAGTAACTAATTATTTGGTCAACCATCCACCTTAAATCTAATGCTGCTGCTCCTGGGTGTGAGTTTGTTAAAGAGCTGATACTGTGAAAATAATATAGTGTTTTATTTGATATAATGTGTAGTGCAAGCTGGGTATTTTCTCTCATACGTCTGTTTAGGCGCTTTAGGATTAATACATTTCAAAAGGATTAAACAGCTAATTGCATTTCCACAGGTAAAAGGTGAATGCAATCATCAAAAACATTTATATTCATAGTGTTATTTTCTTTAGTGTTTTTACATCCATCTAGATGACAAGAAAAATACTTAAGTCACAATTATTAGTTGTATAAGGGTATTGTACAATACTCCGCAATAATTAACAGCATGTTTTGTCTGTCAGCCTCATTAAAACTCAAAATAGCTGTCCACATTGACATATTTCCCATTTGAGCTCAATCCACATGCCTGTACCTGGTGAAAAGGTTGTAAAGAACGCGGAGAGTCGATTTTAGGTCACAATTCACAATATCTGGAATAAAACGGAAAAAAAACACTCATTTTACAATTTGAGAACAAAAGCTTTCATAGTTACAATTGTCTTGGCCTGAAGAACCCTTGAGCAGTTAAAAAACACAGTTTCTTCAGTTCCAGTACATGTTTGAAGTGATTTAAAGCATGAAGAGGATTTATGCAATGCCAAATAATGTACCCGAGTCTTCAAGGACTCTGAACGACATAATGCAATCAACACACACAAATAAAAACCTAGACACACTTTTAACCTGAAAATCATTCAAATACACACAAAAACACACAACCAAATGTACACACACAGTATAAAGAATACTTTGAAACACTATAAATAATAGAGCTGTATTTGTGTAGTATTTATTCACATTTCACATTTATGTATTTGACAGACTCTTTTATCCATTCAAGGTACATATTTGATCAGTTCTTGCTTTCCCTAGAAATTAAAGCCATGACCTTGGCGTTTCTAGCAGCGTGCCCTTCTGTTTCAGCTACAGGAAGGCTGTTTTAGTATGTGTATATTATGGATACTGTATACGGTATAGCATCTAATGTATATTGTGAACTGCTGATTTGTTAAACTAGCTCTAAAGAGAAGGTTGTTATTAATTCCATCTTACTTAGATTAAAATAACTCAATATTATATTAATTGTAACTATAATATTAATACTTTATTATCTATTATTATTATTATTACATATTATTTAACTAAACTATTTAAATATTAATTATTCGAAAAGGAGGGAAAAACAGCTAATTGACTATTGTTAGGCAAGGAAAATAGAACTATATATTTTTGAATCAAAATTACTTATTAAATAAAACTACATATTCTTAACAAAACAAAATAAAGTTTTAACTAACTATTCTCAAGGAAAGAAAAAAATGAATTAATTAGCTGAAGGAAAAAGTAATAACCAACCAAATAACTAGACTAATTTAAAACTCATTTTAATTAAATAAAAGACTATTTAAGAACAGACAATTATGTACAAGATATATATTTTTTATGTTTTATATATACTTATTATGTAACACAAGCCAACCCAAGAATGGCCTGTTTTTAATTTTATTTAAATATGTTTTCAGTTATCTCTAAAACCTTTGTATGTAACATTTAAGAAATGAACATTCAGGTTAAAACAGCAACACGTTCGAACTGGGAAAGTATCAGTAGCCAAGTACAGTTCTGACAAGACAAATCTTTTTAAAATGGCCGGTCAACCACACAATTGCAATGATAGGACTTGAAGAAAACAAAGCCGTAATTACCCTCAGGCCTGGGCTTGGGCCTCTCCAGGTCACCGTCCTGCATCAGCTCAAAGGAGAAAGACACATTATGAACCTGCAGGTAAAAAAGAAACTGTCATATTGTGACACCTTGAAGGGCAAAAAAGGGCATGTGTTAAAAAAAAAAAAAAATTCCCCAAACTGGACTGTAGACTGTAAAGCAGTTATCTCTGAAGTCCACACACAATCACTGGATATTAGAAAGAAGCTACACATCACCCCACTTATCCGTTTCCTGTGCAGAGGCAGATTACAGATGCATCCTGGTGCGACATGCCCATTTGGCACAGGACGGGCCTGCTGGATGTGACCCAGGTGAGCAGCCTGTACCCTGGGCTGACTGTCAATACCACCCCCTCTCAACGACACTCAACACAGCACACCAGGGTGGCTTTCATACTGAAGCACGCTAACCGCAGACGCACTGCTAATTTATACCTTTTGGTCAAAATTCTCAGGCGTCAGGAAGAAGTTGTAGAGGGGGACGAAGTATCCTTCCAGAAGTCCCATCAGCAGGACCAGATACACACCATCTGCAAACTACAAACACACCTCAGTCAGAACAACACAATCCTGTCATAGACATCAAATCAAGACATACAAATTTACATAACACACATAATTCTGACACACTAAAACTACTTTTATTCAGCAACGAGGTGTTCAATTTATCAAAAAAGACAAAGACATAATGTTACAAAAGATTTATATTGCAAATAAATGCTGTTCTTTCTATTCATCAAAGAATGCTGAAAAAAAATTATATTTTCACAAAAATATTAAGGCTTTTTTTTTTTTTTACACTTCTTGAGCACCAAATCAGCATATTAGAATGATTTCTGAAGCGAGTAGGGAGTGGTTGGATGACATCAAAGAATGGTGTCAGAGGGACATCCACTCTCTTAGCAGGATGGCACAGGACCGTGCACAGTGGAAATGGAGCGTCAGACGGGCATTGGACACCAACGGGCGTGAGCCCATGGAATGATGGATGGGATGGATGGACTGTATTTATGATCAAATAAATGCAGCCTTGGTGAGCATAAGAGACTTTTTATATTAGAATTTGTATTATATTTATTTATATTTACATTATAATAGAATTTTATATTAACCGGCAATCATTTTGCTTCTTAATAGTAGATTAAAATATATTAATATGAAATATTTGCCAATCGTAAACAGCCAACAAATAAGATGAAGAATAACAACTTACATTTATATTTATGAAACAAAGCTATATCGTATGGGTTAAGACAAAAAAAAAAAAGTAAAATATAGAGATCTACTTTAAATTATATTTTTATGGTGCTTTAGTGTCCGTTTTGAAGCTTGAACGCTTGAGTTCCCATTGAAATTCCATGTTAAAGAGTGACCAGGACAGTCAAATAGGTTTGGAATGACATGAAGGGGAATAAATGATAACAGAATCAGAATTTTAATTTATTTATTGAACAAATGGTCTTTTATCATGTTGCTGCTGCTATCATTTTATTAAATCACTGTAATATATGATTTCTTGTCGCTTAGCACTTTCTTTTACCATAGTCACAATATATTTATTGTGCTGATCCATGTGTTACCTGTGTATCCAGTTCAGCTACTTCCAAGTTCAGTTTATTCAGGTGTTTGTTGACGAAGGTGATTAGAGTCTGCAGAAAACAGATGCAAATGTGGTCAGGTTTGTCCAAGAATGTAATTCGGCCAATATTTTGGCGCTTTCGTACCTTCTTCACCACATTCAGCTTGTCAGGAGCATGATCCAACAAGGTATCAAACGCATCACGCTCTGAATACAATACATCATTAATTAGAAACACAACTGCAACTTTGAAAGGAATAGTAAACACTGGTGTTCACAAGTTTGGGGTAGGTAAGATTTGTAAAGGTTTCTGAAGAAGAAAAAAAAGTTGCTTAAACTCACCAAGCCTGCATTTACTTGATCAAAGACACAATACAAACAGTAATGATTTAAAATAACTGTTTTTTTTAATATAGTGTGTAATTTTTTTTCTTTTATTCAAAGCTGAATTTTCAGCAGCTATTTTTAAATTTTTCAGTGTCACATGATCCTTCAGAAATCATTCTAATATGCTGATTTGTTGCTCAAGAAACATTTATTATTAACGTAAAAGCTGTTTAATATTTGCTGCTTAATATTTTTGTGGAAACCTTGATACATTTTCTTTGATAAATAGAAAGAAAGAAACAATATAAAAGTCTTCACCATCACTTCTGATCAATTGTTTTTTTTTATATAGTGTGTAATTTTTTTTCTTTTATTCAAAGCTGAATTTTCAGCAGCTATTTTTAAATTTTAAGTGTCACATGATCCTTCAGAAATCATTCTAATATGCTGATTTGTTGCTCAAGAAACATTTATTATTAACGTAAAAGCTGTTTAATATTTGCTGCTTAATATTTTTGTGGAAACCTTGATACATTTTCTTTGATAAATAGAAAGAAAGAAACAATATAAAAGTCTTCACCATCACTTCTGATCAATTTAATAAATCCTTACTGAATAAAGGTACTAATTTCTTTCAAAAACGTACTAACCCCAAACTTTTGAACAGTAGTGTGTTTAACATCTAAATTTTAATGGATGGAAATTTTAATAACACTTACCATGTCTGCCAGATAATGCCCTATGAACATAAAAATATATATATATGACTGAAACATTAAATTATGATTGAACTTGTTAATAGCATACACACATATAAGAATGCAGTTAGAAAATCATCACATAACATCAATAGAACAGTTGTTGTCCGATATGTAATTGTCTGCCATCACGTAATGCTCAATTAAAGTTTTAATTAAAATTAAAACTCAATTAAAAAAACACTAATAATTCAACAACATCGTTAGATTAAATCTTTAGCAAATCTTGTATCCAGAATAGGAATATACTGTACGTTATAATGTTGTGGTGCTTATAGCATTTAAAATTAGTGATTTTATTTATTTGTTTGTTTATTATTGTGTAGAATTTTAATAATCAGTCATTTATCAGCAAGAATTTTATTATTGCATGCAATGCAAGTTAGGCATTTCATTTATCTCCTGTACAGCATGGGAGGCAATTTGTCTCTCTTAATTCCACGGTCACTGAAAGCCAGGCGGCTGTCATTTGGGTGTGTGGAAGGGTGATCAAATTGATCGGGCAAGTCTGGGACAGCCCTGGACAGGGCTTCCTCCCCATGAGGCCCCCTCCTCCTCACTCTCTAATCACTCCTGCCAGCCATCAGCCTGGGCAGCAGCAGCTACTGTGTGTGCGATAACAGCCTCGGGAAGTACTCCACAAACACACACATACAAGTGCAAAAACACACACTTATCTCCCCAGTTGCCAGGTGCCTGCTGGGCCGCTATACAGTCAGCTGTGCACATATATGTGTATGTCCGCACAAAGGGTGACGAAAAAGCACCAAAGCTAATCCAAATGTCATCTTGTAATCAACGATCTACCGCATAATGATTGAAACATATGAAAGAAATCATTACAAAAGGTGCAAAAGATTATTAAACCCTGATATTGACACATTTATTAACACATATGGGGGTGACATCTGGAAATTAGGGTTGTCACACTGACGTACTCTGTGTTGCCAGTGATATTCTCCATAACCTGACGGGATTGAAGAATGCCCTCTCGTTTCTAAAAGAAAGAAAAAAGGAACAGATTGAATATGAACAGGAGCCAGACATCTCTAGAAGACTTAAACTGCTATCGTTTGTCCAATCAAAATATCTGTTATGGGAAAACAGTTCCTCTAGTCAAGCACAACAGGAGAAATACAAGATGATTTGTCAAATCCATTCTCCTACATGAACGGTTAATTATAGATATATAAACGTATAATTTAAAAATTATTACTAATTAAAATGTTCTACAAGATGTTACCAAGTTTAGGTCAGGCACAACAGTTCCTTTAGTCAGGCACAACAGGAGAAATACAAGATGATTTGTCAAATCCATTCTCCTACATGAACGGTTAATTATAGATATATAAACGTATAATTTAAAAATTATTACTAATTAAAATGTTCTACAAGATGTTACCAAGTTTGACTATTTTTCCAGGTATGAAAATGTCTTAATATTTCCAATTTTTCCTTGACTATATCAACATCAAAAGCAAGACAAGACAGAAAAAAATAAATAAATAAAAATTAAAAATCGATATCAGCAAGCTAGCATCAGTTACTGGAGATAATTAGCTTTAGAAATTAAGGCTAACTGACTATAACCATCCATATTTGATTCGATATCAAAAGAAAAAAGCAAGTAAATATTGACTATAATCATGAGTATTTGATTCAATATCGAAAGAAAGCAAGGAAATATTGAATGAGAGCAAGAAAAATGAGAAAATACAAATGAAAACATCGACTTCATTGAGCTAGCTTCAGTTATTGAAGCTAATTAGCTTCAGAAATTGAGGACTATTTGAGTAACCTTCCATATTAGGTTCAAAATCAAAACAAAGTAAGAAAATATGAACTATTACCATTAGTACTGATTTAGTACCAAAGTTAAGCAAAAATACTTTGAAAGAAATTGAGACAAAAGGCAAAATACAGATGGCATCAAAATCAGTAAGCTAGCGTCAGCTACTAAAGCTTATTAGCTTTCATCTGCATTTTCTATTCTGACTTGCTTTCCTTCCTCAAAGACATTTTGACAAAACCTGGTAATTCAAAAACAACAAATAAACCTTTTTGTGTGATTTTGTGGAAATCTGTGAGAAAATTTGTCTGACACGTTTATCAGAGAGCGTTTTAAATGCAAACATAACTGTCGCTTGATGTTATCTACTTCTAGCATCATAACAGCAAAGATGTATCAGCAGTTAGAGAACATTACGGTCTAAAACAGAGGTTACGTACCTGAACCACAACCACCTGAATGGACACATGGTCAGGGAGGCGAATGGGGGCTCTGAAGTGCTGTGAGAGCGCCACCAACAGGTGAAGGATGGCCACAATGCTCTTAGCGTGAACCGCTAGTAAATAGTGCAAAAAAAAATAATAAAAATAATTACATTTAGGTCTTACATTCCCTAGTTTCATTTGAATTAATTAAAACCAGTATTGGCACGAAACAAGCTGAGATGTAGCTTCAGCTCTGTGAATTGTTACTTAAGGACACAGGATTGATGTTCACTTCCGTTTAATACAAAAATCAATAGCGCATAAATCTCTCTGCCTCATAAAACACAATAAAACGACCTGCAATATCTTTAGTGTCTCTTCCACATAAGTGGAGGGATTGAAATCCACTAAAAGATACTGTTACATCACTTTAAGTGTTTTCCAAGCCTTTGAAGCTCAAAGCTACGAGAAGCACCCATTAATAGCGTTTTAAACTGACGTTACTTTGTTGTAAAGCCGTTTTGTGCACCACAGCATGTCTAAGTGGACACTTTAAGACTCACTGCCTAATACAGGTCCATTTTTAACGGCGCATAACACTTGTCTTATTTAGGAGCATTTGAATGTGTCATGCTGGAGCTCTAGGGACCTACAGTCGACGTTCCACTTGATGCTCCTGGTGGAGACCTTCAGAGCATCATTGATCCTCTCCAGAACCGTCTGCAGCTTTTGTTTCTGGGCAATCTCAGATTGGGTCACCTCTGCAACATTCAGCTTTTCACCTTCAAGCTTTTCTACAGAATGGAAACACAAGGCCAAATAAGAATAGAGAAGACGGAGATTGGAGAAGTTCTCTAGGAGTTCAGGTAGATATTTCTTGGATATTTAGTCAAATATAACCAATCCAAACCAGTCATACTGTAAAATAAGCAGAGACTGTTTACCAAAGAGCTTCTGGAGAACCTGTCCGTCATAGAGATCTTCAGCCAGGTCCTTCACGATGATCCTTTCCCCAACCAGAACATCATTGATCCAGTCGATGAGCACCTAATTTGGGCATAATCATGGACGTACAGGTTTGGAACGACATGAGGGTGAATATGTAATGACAGAATTTACATTTTTGGTTTTAAACAAACCTTCATGAGCTCCTGGAGTTTTTGGTCATTTTTTGAGTTGGGGTCCACCATGGTGCGGACTTCATTTTCCTCTGTGAAAAAGAGAAAGAGACAGGCAGGAGGAAGGTGTAAGGGCATATTATTAACCTGAGCGAGCATCAATTGAATAATGAGGCTACGGGTTCACCTACCTAGCATGATGTCCTCAGGATGAAGCTCAAAAGGTGTGGGACTCAGGGGGAGATTAATGGCGTTCATCCCCTCCTCCTGCAGCTCAGATACTATAGAATACAGGACACATTGTGTGAGAGATGACAAATTATTTCTGAATAAAAAAACAGAAAAGACGTTTTTTTTCGCCTTCATATTATTGCTGTTATACAAGTGGTTGACAATATATTCATTTACCTTGTTAGATTATAATGAGTGCCACGGAGAAGTATCTCTTTTACTATAGATAGCTAGGGTTTAGGATCTTTTTAACTTCCCAAACTTAAGTCAATATGAAAAACCATTAACAAGCCAATTTACTTCTGCAATCCGACATACTTTACAGTGAAAGTGGATATTACTGTACACTACTGTTGAAAAGTTAAGAAATTAATACTTTTCAGCATGGAATAAAATAACCAAAAGTTTCAGTAAAAGATTTCTGCTGTATTTCAAATAAATGCTGTTCTTTTGAACTTGAAATATGAACGATTCATCAAAGAATCCTAAAAAAAAAAAATGTATCACGGTTTCCACAAATCTATGAATTTTTCAAAACTACATTGTTTTCTGCACTGATAAGACTGATAAGAAATGTTTCTTGAGCACCAAATTAACATTTTAGAATTATATTATATTTTAAAAGATATTAAAATAGAAAACAATTATTTAAAATGATCAATATTTCATAGTATTACTGCTTTTATTGCATGTTTGATCAAATAAATGGTGCCTTGGTGAGAATAAGAGACTTCTTTTAAAAACATTGAAAATACTGAAACCAAACTTTTAAACAGTAGTGTAGGCTATATTATATTCATAACAAAGTAGTAAATAATTAATAAATAAATATGTAAATAAATTTTAAAAAATTATATATTAAAATATATTACATTTGTATTTATAAATGTTAAATATTAAATTAAACAAAGTAATTAAATATTATTGTTTGTGCTATGAACAATATTTAGCCACAATAGTATCAGAGACATCAGGATGGTTTTAATGTTTTCGCTTGGCCCAGTACAAGCAACCACCACAAAAACCAAAAACACCTTAGCAACTGCATAGCAACTCCCTTGTAAATAAATTTTAAAAAATTATATATTAAAATATATTACATTTGTATTTATAAATGTTAAATATTAAATTAAACAAAGTAATTAAATATTATTGTTTGTGCTATGAACAATATTTAGCCACAATAGTATCAGAGACATCAGGATGGTTTTAATGTTTTCGCTTGGCCCAGTACAAGCAACCACCACAAAAACCAAAAACACCTTAGCAACTGCATAGCAACTCCCTGGCATCGCAGTTCACATTTTCAGAAGAAAATGTAAAAATGCATATATTTATTAGGCTTTTATTAGAACTTCAGGGCATCAACATTCTCAGCATCCTCAGAGAAACAACCCAGCTCCTCGCTCCCACTGCAACCCAGCATGCATCACCGTCAACAGCGCTGATTATGGGGATGCGAACATCCTGTGCTGGATTCCAGAGGCCTCCCATGGAGGACGATATCCTATTAATCAACACCCTCTCGACCTCACGCACAGCTGCTCTCCCGCTGCTTCTTCTCACTGATGTGGGGGCCACATAAAATCCAACGGCACAACAAAGACGTCATGTATCTTGTACTATGGTGATCATTAAGGTTAACGTGTGACTGGGCGGATGTTTCACAATTTAAGCACAATTTCTTCAGAAATGGTCCAGTTAGCTAGAACTCCACCAGAAGATCTTGCTTTTATGGTGCATTTTGAAGCTTTAACTGACATTATTGTATATGGAAAGAGCTGCATTTAAAATCACAGGAAAAAACAGTATATGGGTTTGGAATGACATGAAGGTGACTAAATATTAATTTCACCAACGCTTTAAGTAGTGGTAGTCATCCTGCACCCTTTTAATTTATATTTCCAAATGTGGAACGAAAGCAATAAACATAAAATGCACTGCCTCCTGGGTAAAAGCCACAAAAGAGTCCTCATCAAATCATACATCAATTACCCATCCAGATCACACTTCTCATCCTGTGTGTGGGTGAATAAGAGACAGAGAAATAGACAGTCAGAGTATCAGAAGGCTCAGCTGCTTTTCCCTCTAATTCAGTCTTGCGAGGGCTGATGGATGCCGCGCAATCATTACAGAAGTGCACTCTGGGAATCTTGCAAACCCCGAAGAACTACTCCAATGTAATGGGCAGCGGCACACAGACTAATTTACTTACTGGATAAGAGGACAAGACTAATATATTTTTATTTGTTTAGGATGTGGATCACTTTAACTTGTCAGGATTATTATTGGGTTCTGAAATCTAGTGCTGCAGCTGTTCTTGTTTCAAGGCTAAGATGACTCTGTTCTCAAGCCTCGTCCAGACAGAATACCTTACATGGCTAGAAAAATACTGCCAAACTGGGTGTCAGATGAAGACAGCGCTTAAGAGCACTTTATAATGTGCCAACCTGTGATTTCAGGTCTATAAATGGCTGATTAGTGTTTCTCAAGACTGTAGTCTAGAGGTTTTTGTCAGAATGATTTGATGACTCAGACATTTTCAGGTGTGGCTGACTTTGAAATATTTGTATAATCTTGCCTCCAGGGTGCATACTTTAAAGTGCTACTTGCCAAAATGGAGTACAAAAAAAATCTCGTAAAGGTAAAATCTTAACTGAACCGCTATTCATAGTTGTGATGCAGTTTTGACGTCAGTGCGTCATTGAGTACAGTCAATTTCAACACTGCTGGTAATAATAAAAAAAAAGGTTTAAGTGCTGGTCAATGGCTAACTACCGTCAGCTGTTTGGTTACAAACATTCTTCAAAATATCTTCTTTTGTGCTCAACAGAAGAAACTCTTACAGGTTTGGAACAATTTGAGGGTGAGTAAATGAGAGAATTTTAATTTAGGGTCAACTATCCCTTTAATGAGGTTAAATTACAATCCCATGAACATTGCGATCTATTTCCTGTACGTTTTATTTCTAACATTTTTAATACCCTTTCTAATTTTATTTTCGCCCTATTTGTCAAATCAGTTAACTCTTCGCTTCTCTAAGCACTACGAGCTGGACATGTTTAAAGGGTTAGTTCACCCAAAAATGAAAATTCTGTCATTAATTACTCACCCTCATGTCGTTTCAAACCCGTAAGACCTTCATTCAGCTTCGGAACACAAATTAAGATATTTTTGATGGAATCTGACCCTGCATAGACAGCAACGCAACTGAAATGTTCCCAAGTCCAGAAACATAGCAAGGAGATCTGTAAAATAATCCATGTGACATCAGTGGTTCATCCGCAATTATACGAAG